TTTTTTTTTTTTTTTTATGTTTCCTTTATCTCTTTATTTTTTCTTTTCTTTTCTTTTTTTTTTATGGTCAGCTCAGCCCACCCTGGGGGCGGGGCTGGCATGGCATGGGGTGCTGGGGATCGAACCAAGGTCCCTGCATGCTTGCCTAAGCTTGCCTAAGCAGGTGCTTTAGACCACTGAGCTATCTCACCAGCCCTGGTCAATGCTTTGATGGAGCAGACTAGCATCTGCTTAATGTAGAATATTATTCAGGGAAGAGGGCTTGACAAATGCCATTTCCTACATTCATAATTTAACAAATAGTTCTTAAGCACCTATCATGGGACAATACATGAAAAATTATCATGGTCCTTGACAGTAACAACAAGAAACAAAACAAACATATAATTAGGAATGAGATAGCTACTACAAGGCAAGGAACACCAGGCTCCAAGAGGAAGTGTACGCATACAGTATGTTGTGTGTGTGCGTGGGGGGGGGGTGACTACCTAGACCAGTGGACCAGAATAGGACCTGGAGAGGAAACAGTCCATCTGAGATCTAAAGGGTGAGCCATAGCCAGCTGTGCTCGGTGTGGCAGGGAATGAGAACATGGAGTCAAATGGAAACATGTACAAAGGTTCCAGGTGCAAATGAGCTCATTGTGTTCCAAGCTTAAAGAGGCCAATGTAGCGGAAGACCAGCAGGAGTGGGTGTGGGTTGGGTGGGTGTAAATGGAGGTTCAGGCAGAGGCCAAGTCACATGGGATCTCGTAGGCCATAGCAGGGAGTTTGGAGTTCACTCCGAATGAAATGAAGGAGTTTTTCAAAGTAAAAAAAACCCAAGAAACAAAACCAGTGATTCACCTTCTGAAGTCTTGCCTAGCATTGTACTAGGATACGACTTCATCCTATTAATCATGTGCAAACATACTCTATTCCTGTGTATAGGATGATGACTGAAATCTAGAGCTTCTTTGTTCTTGGCCATTCTCTGGGGCCATGGCAAGGAAATCAGATAGTTAAGAGGCTCTTAAGGAAGGAAGACCAGTTGCCAAATCAAGAAGGAACAGATCATTCCTTGTACTCTGAACCTATCCCCATCTCGCTCTCCAATGGGCTGAGGGTCAGAGGGGGCCCCCAGCCTACAGTAGGAGCTCAGATGTCCACTTAGGTTTCTATTCTCCACTCCTCACCCTCGTGCCTCGTTATGTGACTTCTTGGGATCACCTACCAAATAAATTACTTGTGTTCAAATAATTGTCTCCTGGGCTGCTTCTGGGGAAACCCAATCAATGTTAGGTTGAGTTTCAACAGAGAAGAACTTGCCACAATTCCTGGCATCCGTTAATTCTAGGCTTCCTTCCCTTAAAAAGGTGGATTGATGGTATCAAAGCTTGTCTAGTAAGCAGCTAGAAAAGGGAGACAAGCTTGGAGTCAAAGGAGGCTGTACAGCTTTTCACAGTTTGACTGGCTTCCTTACCACCTGATCAAATTAGACCTAGAAACTGAGAAAGTTACATTTTAAGAAAGAATATTTTGATATCCTGAACATAAATGTGAATGAGATAAGCTGCAGTGGGAAAAGGGACAAGAATATTAATGAAATCATTCAAAAGGAAATTTGTGTCATGCAGATGTAATACATGGCTTGTGGTAATAGATTTATCTGAAGTTTTTGTACTTCCTATAACCTCTGTGACCAAAGAGCTTTCATGATTTTTTGATGTTTGCAATCCAAATAATCAAAAGTTCACAAGTGAATCAGGGATAGAATGTTTGGCCTAGAAGAGGAAAAAAAAATACTCAAATTAAAATCCACATTCCAACACAAAGTTACACCTTTTTATTCATATACTCCTATGTGAATTTTTTCCCATGTTGTCTTACAATGAAGCAATTGTCCTGGACCCTAAATTTTGATTGTCCTAATGGGGTTTTAATTTTATTTTCTTGAAGTGGAGACTAACTACATTGGTTAGTTTACAGCTCTAGAGACCAAGTGATGCTCTTGCCTCTGCCTCTCGGGTAGCTGGGTATATAGGCATTGACACCACACTTAGCTCTTTATGGGACTTTTAAAGTTATAAATGGGAAAAATAGGAAAGAACATTTTGCTAAGGGCAAACCTTAACCAAGGACAGCGGTCCATACAATGATTTTGCTTTTGAGGACATCCACGGTGGGACCAAACCATATAAAATAAAATGGACACAAGCCGCAGTGGGTGAACTCCCAAGAGGCTGCACTCAGTCAAAACACTCTTCTATTGTCATCTTTTACCACATGTATGGAGTCTAACCCAACGCCACATCACCCAGTTCTTTCTTTGTTGTTGTTGCTTGGCTTGTTTTGTGAAACATGGTCTCACTGTGTAGTTCAGGTTGGCCTTGAACTCACTACCTAGCCCTCTGTGTGGCTCACTATGGCCTTGAACTCACAGCAGTATTCCTGTCTCAGCCTCCTGAGTGCTAGGATTTCAGGCATGTGCCACTATCCCTGGCCATATTACTCAAATCTGAGTTAATGTCAGGGCAAAATTTTGTTTTTTAATGGTGCCCAAATATTAATATTTGAAATAAGTGCATTTAGAAACCAAATATATCATTAAGTATTGTTCAAGTTTAATATATGAGACCAGGAGCAACTGGACTGAAGGATGAAGAGATTTAGGGGAAGGAAGTGAGGAAGTGAAAGAACTGAGAACTGAAGGAGTTTTTCTCAGTCAACTCCCAGCCTGGAACAGTCTCCTTAAGTGTATTTGGTTCAAGGGACCAATGAAATAATAGTAGGACATAAAAAGGGAGATGACCTGTGTAGGAAGTCACCTGTTATGCATTGGGCACAGGGTACGTGTATGCATGGCAGACCTTGGCAGTGACCATGAATGTGGCCCACTGCTGCTTCTTTAGGTAGCCGACATGTCAAACCTATGGGTTTTTAGGTGATGAAATAAAATGTTTTAAAATACAATGGAAAGTTTTCAGTCACTAACAGATTTATGTTCTGTGTGACTCTGCACATCAGGGCGAAGCTGTGTTGCCAAATATGTGCCCTGAAACAGGAACCTGCATTCGAGTGTGTGCTGAGAGGCGGATGAAGTCCTCCCATGTGGGCTGTCAAGAGTCCACCTCGAGGTCTCAGAGAAGCCAGAGTGATCCTAAGAAAGCATGAGGGTGGGTGGGTGGTAGAGAAATCAGGTCTCACTTGTGGGCGAAACAAGTCTTGGCATCTTGTTCAGGGCACATGTGTTCTTGTTCTTTTCTTCTCTTAGATTTCACTTCAAGGGGCCGGGGAGATGGCTCAGTGGAATAAATGCTTCCCTGGCAAGCGCAAGGGCCCGAGTTCAATCCCCGGTTCCGCAAAAAAAAAAAAAAAAAAAGATTTCACTTCAAGTCCCCAAATACCTCAATTTACAAACTCATTGCAGTCCAACCGGGGATTGAACTCGGGCCCTTGGGCTTGCCTAGGAAGCGTTTATTGCCAACTGAATATTTTATAGTCATGGCGAAGAAATGGCAGTTTTAAATCCTATCCTCGGATTTGGTAAGTGCACTTCAGAATCAGCGAAAGAAGCTGGCTGAACTTGTCCACCGGCTGACTCCTGAAGCACGCTGCTGCTGTCCAGGGCGCAGGACATGGCCGGGTGCTAGGGCCCGGAGGGGCTTGAGGCCTAGCAGGTCTGCGGAGTTTCGCACACTGATAGAAGTGATAGAAGAGCGAGGCTTGGGGCCTGGCTAGAGCCTGGCGCTCCTGCGCCTCTGCACGCGGCTGAGTGCTGTTTACCCCTGGGCCCTGGCCGCCCACCTCCTAACTGCAACTCTCATAACTTATGAGTCTGCGAGCATGAGGATGAGCACAGAACAAGTGGGAGAAACCGTAAGAAAAGGGGTCTCAGTGTGTGGCCCTAAGCCGTGGGTCTCCTGGAGACACTGGCTGAGAACTGACCTGGGTGAGCTAAGGGTGCACGCGGTATTTTCTTTTTCATGTTTCTCCCCCTCCCCCATTTTTTGTCTACCATTATGATATATTGCTGTTACAATAAAAATGGACTGGGGGAGGCATGGGAGATGGAGGGCTACCCAGTGCAGTTCATAGGAGCTCATAGAAGTAACGTCTGGGGCTGGGCAGCGCAGTTCGGCAACTATGATTGGTAACAATAAATCCTGCTTCAAAATAGATAGCGGAAAGGGGCTGGAGTGTTCCCAGTTATAAAGACATGAACATCTAGGTGGCAGATTGCCTCCGATCTGATCACTACACTTTGTATATATTTATCCACGTATCACAGTGTACCCTATAAATATGTGCAAGTGAAACAAATGATCTGAAAAATGGGGAAAAACGTTACCTCCTGGCCCAGATAATATTAAAGCCAAAATAAAAGGGCAGATCTTATCTGAGGCTAGAGGATGAGGAAGTGCCCTGGAGGAATTTGCTTGGGCGTGTGTGTCTGGCTCAGGAAGGCCCTGGGCATCCGGGGTCTCCCCCTGCCTCTCAGAGGCCCCTTTATCAGTTACCCAGGGTGGAGCCAGTGCCAGCTGGGACCAGCGGAGGCCGCGTGAGTGCCCCGTCAAAGCTTGGTTTCCGCGAGCTCAACCTTCTGTTTGTGTTGGCAGGACGGTCTGGCAGCTGGCCTGCGGCCTCAGGTGAGCATCCTGCTGTGCTGTTTTGCAGCTCGCCCGTGTTTCGTCGGGGACTGGAGCCCTTGGAGCGGCTGTGCTGACCGGTGCAAGCCGACCACCCGCGTGCGGAGGCGCTCCGTGCGCCAGCAGCCTCAGAACGGCGGCGCGCCCTGCCCTCCGCTAGAGGAGCGAGCCGGCTGCCTGGAGTACTCGACGACGCTAGGCCGGGACTGCGGGCACGCCTTCGGTACTGGCGCTCTCAGGGCTGGGCTGGGCTATCTTTGATGACTTTTTGGCCTCTTCGTCCAATAAAAGGTCATGAGCCGTGCAGGGAAAGTTCCACACACCGCAGGGAGCACGGTGGGCCAATCTGCCCAAAGTAGATAGGAAGCTCAGGAAACGCTTCATAGAGGAGCTGACGGCCAGCTGAGAAAGCCGCCTTTTCCCTGGCTTCCCTCAGCGTGTGTTTTTAACCCCATGGCCCATTCTCACTCTGCATGGCTCAGTAATAAAATAAGCCACATGTGTGCGCCCCACCCCGCAGCAGTGCTGGGAATTGAACTCAGGATGGCACCGTTGCCAAGCGTTCTTCCACTGACTATACTCCCAGCTTTATGCGCATGTGGCTTTTAGGTGACAGAGGGCATTAGGTGGGGTGTGTGTGTGTGCTATTTCATGCAGGCTGGTCATTCATTTCCACTGTGATTCTTCATTAAGTAGAAATCCTAATTTGCACACCATTTTTGCATACTCACAAACGTGCAAATGGGAGAAAAAAAGATAAATTTCTGAAGAGTGATAAAATGATTCCCTTAAAATACCTGCTTCTCCTCTCTAGCTGAAAGGACTGAGGTCAGTGTGACCTTATTTGTGATTTGAAAAGATTACTCTGCTTGTGAAGCAGCCAGCAGTGGGGTTAGAAGCAGGCTCACTCATGACCAGGAGTCCTGCGAGTCTCACAAAGAAAGAAAGAGTGGGCCAGTATCGATATACTGCTCTAACTGAACACAACACTGACAGACTGGGATAGCAAAGGCCCTGCGTTTTCATAGGAGCATAGAAAATTTCAAGTCAATACAACCTTCATCAGCCATTGAGTTCCTTCTTTTTTTCCACAGAAGTATTTACTGATAATTCACTTGATGCCCAGTGTGGGCCAGACACCTGGGCTATTGTTGGGGGAAGAGCTGATACAGAACTTACATTATGTAGATAACAGTCTAATAGGCAGGGGGCGCAACAATCATATGGCCCCAGGAAATTAATCCCTGAAATAGACAGCTGTGGCACCTGGGACAGATGTATTAGATGAATGAACAGTTCTTTGAAACCTAAGCAAGTCTGACAAGGTCTTAGGGAGAGGAAGGAGCAGGGGCTTCTCTGGAGGTGGGCTGGGAGGTGCATAAGCTGCCAGGGCAGACGGGTCCAGCCTGGTCCTCAGGTGCAGGGGGTTGAGGGATTTGGGGATGGATGACTGAGATTAAAGACACGACACAAGAGGCAGTAATACAGAAGGCCTGACTAGGCAGTGCTGGACAGGGTGGTGGGGAAGAAGAAATCCTTACAGCATGGACTGTCCAGTAAGAGATAGGCTGAAGCTGGGGCTGGGGTAGCATGCAGGAGAGGGAGATGGTACAGGGAGAGGAGGATTTACAAGGCACCTTACATGTCCAGGTGATGTCTAAGACAGCAGGAAGGGTCCGCATCAGAGATCTCCAAAGGGCAGAGCGAGCTTGGGATCTTTTTGCTTTTGATTGTTGCAGTGCTGGAAATTGAACTCGGGGAACTCAGGACAGTTGAACTCAAATTGAACTACATCCCCAGCTCTTTTAAAATTTTATTTTATTCTTTAATTTTATGTTGAGACAGCATCTTCCAATGTTGCTGAGGCTGGCCTTGATCTTGGAATCTTCTTGCCTCAGCCTCCCTAGCAGCTGGGATTACAGGTGTGTGCCACTGTGCAGGGTGAGCTTGGGCTCTGAAGGCCCTGTGTCTTTAAGGCCAGTAGATGCTGGGAACAGTGTCACAGGTATGCAGAGCAGACAGGCCTTTAAAAAAAGCTTTTTCTGTTCTTTCAAAAAACAAATCTGAGTTGGATGCCCCATTCTTAGGTTGTGGTGAAAAAATGGGCAAATTATGATTAGTTTACATATCCCTGGGGAACCCTGACTCATTTACATAATCCTGATTCATTTACATAATCCTGATTCATTTACATAACCCCAAGGGAAGCACAGGGCTCCTTTGAGAGTGAAGACTGCTTGTGGGGAGCAGAGACAGCACCCTGGACTTGCCCTTCAGAGCTTTAAAAGTCATTGAGGTGTTTTCTGCCGGTTTGTTGTAATCAATTCTGAGATTGGAAAGGTTTTCTCTGCCATGGATGGTGGCTGGAGCCTCTCACTGGTAAAGCAGCTTCGCTAGGTCTTGGGTACTTTAGTGCTCCAGACAGGATGCTCAGGGAAGCAGTTGTAGATTGCAGCCCTGTCCAGTCAAGTGCTCTGCAGGAACCCTGCAGAAGCAGCTAGGGGAGGACACTGCTGTGAGACACCGCTGAGCCTCCTCATCCCCAGTGAAGGTTGTTCTCACCCCTTTTAAAGCCCCAGGTCCCTTTACAACAGAACAAGGACTCTGGAGGATACAGAAGAGGACGCTAGGAAACATGGCCCAAGGGCATCTGCCAGCAGGGGCAAAAATGGCCTTGCCAGCCCCTGGGGCCTCCTTTCCTCTGGGTGTGTTGTGTTCCCCAATTACCCTTCTCCCCATTCCTGCACACTTACTGAGAGGATGAGCTGAGGCCAGCAGTCATCAGCCCTTAACCCCAGTTGTTAGTGACTCCAATTTATCTAGCAGGAGACAGCTGTACTTGGTCACCTTTCCTTTTAACATAAAATAATAACCTTCTGGTTTGGAAAGAGGAGGTGAAATGTCCACGTTTTTAGCCCTGCTTTGGTCCCCAAGGTCTTCCTTCCCTTGTGGGGTGTCTTGGGAGGGGTGAATCCTGTCATAGGCTGCCCAGGGAGGATAGGAGCTGGTGAGCAGTCCAGTCCTGTCCTGGGACCCTGCACCGGGAGCAAGGGCATCATGTCCCTGGAGACCATCCAAGGCCCATGGGTCGGAACCTCTGGGGCAGGCCCAGTGCTCTGATTTGCAGCAAGTTCCCCAGGGGATTCTGCTGCTCCCTGCAGTTCCAGGACCTCTGCTGTAGGCTGGGCGTGGATAGGTAGTGCAGCCTGTGTCGCAGCTGGCAAAAGTTTCCAGAGGACATTCTCTTACATGACAATAGTGTACCCAGAGGAGGATGCATTTTCTCCACCACAGAACTTTTCAGAACTTATAGTGACACCTATGCATATGCACACACACACACACACACACACACACACACACACACACTCTCTCTCTCTCACACAATTACATGTATACATACATGTTCACCCTACAAGAGGGAAATGATATGAGCAGTGTCCTCCCACTTTGTATGATTAGGTAGCCCCTTTCCATAGAGGCATCTCACTAAAATCACTAGTGTTCATGAAATGTTCTTTAGAATATGATGGCTAACTAGGGGAAAACAAGGACTGTAACATGAACATCTGATCCAATGAGTTCCTCAGGGCTGCTTGGGCCTTGTTTCATTCCAGCTCTTGTGTTCCTTTTTTAAATTAATTAATTAATTAATTAATATATATATATAGGATCTTACTAAGTTGTTCAGCTTTCTGCCTCAGCCTCCAAGGATGCTTCCATGCCCAGGTCTGTGGATTCATTTTTGTTTCACTGACATAACACCAGCACCCACCACATGCCAACACTGTGCTGTTTTGGGGAGCCAAACTTACAAAGCACCATACCACAGTTCATTAGGACTCAGCACGCTGAGTGCTACAGTGGAGCGATGCAGTCGGTTCAGGTGGAGTCCAGAGGAGGAGCGCCTGCCCCAGCCGGGTGCTGTCCAGCCTGCTGCTTGATCTCCTGTGCACCTGCTGCCTCCTCCCCTCCCCTCCACCAGCCTTCACAAAGCGGGCAGCTTTGTTTTCTGGCAAGCTCACATTTGCAAGGCAGGCAGCTTTTAGCGCATTTGTTTTCTGTGGCTGCAGTAATGGTTTATCAGAAATTTACTGACAAATTAAAACAACTGTAATTGTCTTACAGTTTTGTGAGATAGAATTCCAACACAAGTCTACCTGTGCAGCAGGGCTGTATTCCCTTCTGAAGGCTTGAGGGCGGCATCTGCACACTTACTTTTGCGTGGATAAAGGGGAATCCTTAGGATGAGGTGCAGACAGCAGAGCAGGTTTATGTTAAGAGTGGACCTCAAAAGGAATGACTCAGGCTTGGATATGTAGCCAAGCAGTTTCGAGCAAAGTGCTGAAGGTGCAACTTGGCTGCCGGTTGTTGCATGTAGTAAAACATGAGAGAAAAGAGAAGAGGAAGATGTTTAGGCCTAGTGGAATCGGGCTTTTATTAATTGGGAAATTCTTGGCCTACCAAAACAGCAAAGGTTTGTTACAATTTCAGCAGGTCCTAGAGAAAAAAAGAGTGTAGCTGCACAGCGCTCTAGTATCTCTGCCCCTCAGGCTGCTTCTCCGGTCTTCACAGGTGGCAACACAGGCTCTCTCTGTGCCTTCATTGGCACCACATCTCCCTATGACTAGATTTTTTAAGTCTCTTGTGATTATGTGGAGCCAATTTAGATAATCTGGAAGATTCTTCCTATTAAGCACTTCAATTTCATTAGTAATTTTAATTCTTCCTCACCATGTAACACAACATATCCATAGGCCCTGGACCTCTTTGGGGCTGTGGTTCTCTCTGCTGAAGGGAGGTGGACAGGAGGATTCTCCTGTGTTTACACAGGACACTGGATTTCTGGAAGCACTCAGCAAGTCTACCAGAACTTAATCCAGGCTCTCCTGACCCGAAACCTATGAGTTTTCTCCTCTTTGTGTTGTTTTTCTGTGAGCTGTCATTATGAGTATGAAAACTGTGATTGTAGGCACTAGTAACTAAGCAAAAAAATAAAGTCTCCATAAAGCCAGTAAATGAAACATGATCAGTGAAACTCTCTTGTTCAGGAGCAAGTAGCTGTTGATTTTTTCCTGTTCCACCTAATGTATGTGATTCCATTTCATCAGAAAAACAAAGATAAAGAGCTAAATTATTGAATTGTTGCACATTACTGATGTTTATAGGAATTTTCCTCCTAAATGGAGATCAGTGTGTATTATTATAAGCAGTAACTTTCCAGGTAACTGTCATTTGTCAGATTTCCCTTTTATTCTCTTCTGTACTATATCTACAGACCAGTAATCCTCAGCCTGCCTTTGTGGTACTCTATTGTGTCCTAGGGCTTATGAAATTCCTAAGGCAAATTTAATTTACTTTCATGTTCAAAGGAAATACGTGCAGTGCCATGCCTTTAAAAGTGGAAGTTGTAAAACTGAACAATGGCAGGCTCATAGATTGCCAAACAAGTTGGCAAATGGCCTGTGAAGACAGAATATATTACATTTGAATATTGTTGTCAGAAAGGGGAACGGAAGGGGAGCTAACATTTATGGACAGAGTTTGTCCCAGGGCACCCAGCTACATGTTTCTGCACATAGCACAAGTGAGGCTGGGACCTAATTTCTACATTGTTTGCCACTCTTAAGTAATGAAGTTAAATGTGTGGGGCATATTAAAAAGTGGTGCTGGGTTGGAGAGCTGCGGGCAATCTGGCTCCTGCTCTGCTTGCTAGAGACTCGTGTGTAGGGGTAGGGTGTCCTTGCGGTAGAACGTGACCCCGTCAGAGCCCTGAGCTGCAGGGGTGGAGAGAAAGCAGACCAGCTGCTGGGCGTCCCGGCCTACTCTCGCCAGGCACCATAACCATAGGCTGTGAACAGGGCGCAGAAACTCAGCATGGATTCTGAGTCTTAAAGGACAGAAGATGTTGTCCGTGCTCGAGCCCTTTCTGGTCATGGAACCTCCCTGAGTTTGAGGACTGCACTGGCACTCACACATCCATAGAGTTTTATGAAGGTTGGGAGTGTGTAGGAATTTACTCTGTGAGTGAGCGGGCTCTAACTGGCAGCAATCTGTGTCTACTCCAGGTCTGATGGGACTTGGGAGTGGAACAGGTTAACAATTTCCCTTTTCCTTTCTGAAATCTGACTTTGCATGGAGTGGTAATTTGGGCCAGAAAGGGAAAACAGATCAGAACTTGAATACTTCAAGGAACTAGGCTGCACAGAACCCGGCGCTCTGCAGTCTGCATCCTCATAGGGTGACCCCAAGCACACGCAGTGCCTGCCTCCGCCATATTTACATTTAAGCCTTCAACACTTTTGGAGCTATCCAAAAGTTCAAGACTGGCACCTTGAACTTTTGTACTGATACATGCAGTTCAAATTAGGAGGTCACATAAATGATTTGAGCAAAAGAAACACATCCTGAAATTTTTTTAGTCTGATATGTATGATACTGCAAGCACTTAGCAGTACCTTTATTCTTCACTTCATGAACAAACACATAATTGTGGCAACAGAATTAAAAACACATGGGAAAACCAGAAATCTTTAGATGTTTTTGTGGATCATTAAGTCTAAGAGACAGAAAAATCCTGCTATGATCTCCTCACCCCTTAATTTTGTGGATTTTTAAAATGTAAAAGTTACAGTTGCATTTAGAAAGCATTACATGCTTTTGGGGGAAACAGTTAAACATGTCAGTGCAGCAAGAAGGAACTGCACAAGCTGGGACTCTCAGGTTTGCTCTAGGGATGGATAATTTTCAGATTGAGGAGATTAGACACCAACCACATGAATCAGCAGCCACGCCCTGCAAGGTTTAGGAACAAGGACTACTTGGCATTCGGCTGCTCTAGTGCAATAAAAATGACTTCCTTAAGACAATCTAAAAAACGAGCTGAGGCCTGCCCTCTTGTGGCAGCAGAGAGCCGCGTGAGCCAGCCCCAGGCTTCAGGCATCCTCTCCTAGCCAGGGCCCTCCTGCCACCTGCTTCCGTGGATGCTGGCCCTAGCAGATCAGTCATCATCAGCTTCCATCTGCCTTTCATGGAGCTGTTCAGGCTCTGAAATAAAAAGCAGGAAGGGCTGCTGAGCTGGCTCCACTGCAGGGCTCAGGACAGTCAGCCTCTCTAACCAGAGTCTGCTTCTGCAAATGAGCCAACTAAGAACTTTAGGGGGGTAGCGGGAAGCTCTATGCTGAACTGCAGACTTATTTTCTGTGCCATTCCCAAAGGAACACAGTATCACAGCTATTCATTGGTGTTTATTTTGTCGTAGGTGTTATACATAATATCCAGAGATGATTTAAAACATTATGGTAGGAGGTCCATGGGCTATATGTAAATAGTGTACCATTTTATTTATGGGAGTTGAGCACCTGAGGATTTTGGCATTCTCTGGGGTTCCTGGGAAGAAACACTCCTGGATAACAAGGTCTGACTTTATAGGCACAGAAGACACAAGGACATAGGACTGTGTGCCTTGGGGGAGAGTCCATGATTTTATTCATCTGCTTACTGAACAACTGTTTATTGAGTGTGTAAATTGCGAGGGGTACAGTGAAGGACAAGGAAAACCCTGTCTTCTTGAGGTGGCATCAGAGTAGAATCAAGAAGTCACCTCCAGGTGCTACATATAGCAATGATGCATCTGTAGACTTAGTGATGAAGTGGGAACATGGCACACACACAAAACAGAAAAAGAGCTGAGCGTGGCAGTGCACAACTGTGATCCCAGTGACCTGGGAGTTTGTGACAGGAGCACTGGAAATTTGAGGCCAGCTTATGCAACTTAGTGAGGTCCTGTCTTGAATTAAAAAAAGAAAAAAAGGGCCGGGGAGATGGCTCAGTGGAATAAGCGCTTCCCTGGCAAGCACAAGGGCCTGAGTTCAATCCCCGGTTCCGCCGGAAAAAAAAAAAAAAACCAGACTGGTGATGTACTTGGTGTGAAGACCATAGGTGAAATCCCCAGTACTCATCTCCTGTCCTCCCAAAAGGACTGGAAACGTAATTCAGCGGTAGAGAGCCTGTGCGGCTCCGGGTTCAACCCCCAGGACAGTGCCACCCCACACAGCCAAGTGAAATGAAATAGCCCAGAGGCAGCAGGGGGAAGGATTCTTGGCTTTGTTGCTTTTTTTTTTTTTTTATTTTTTTTTTTTTATTTGAGAGAGAGAGAGACAAAGAGAGAGACAGAGAGAGAGAGTGTGTGTGGTGTGTGTGGCCAGCTCAGCCCACCAGGGGGCGGGGCTGGCTGGCATGTGGTGCTGGGGGATCGAACCGCGGTCCCTGATGCTTTGCTAAGCTTGTTCTAAGTAGGTGCTTTAGACCACTGAGCCATCTCTCCAGCCCTTTGTTGCTTTTCTTGACCCATCACGGCAGAGTCTAGGGCTGCATGGGGCCTCACTGACCTTGCCTGTACTGTGCAGCGCAGGGGGGTCCAGGCTGTGGCCCCAGAGCTGTGGGAGCACGCACGTATCTTTCCTTTGCTTGCTTTTATTCTTTCTTCTTTCTCCTGTCTGTTTTCCCTCCATCTTTTTCCTCTTTATTTTTCCTGTCTTTTCTTTTTTACTTCTTTTCCTATAATTACCTTCTCTTGTAAGCTCTATTTTCTCACCTTCCTTTTTTTTTTCCTACTGGTCTTTCTTCCTGGCTCCTCTCCGTTTCAGTTCTTTTCCTGCAGACAAATGTGCTTGTCAGCAGCTCATAGTCCCCTCTGTGTCATCTGCGTGTGCATAAACCTTTAAGTAATTTGGTTCTGCAGAACTGGTAACTTAGCCTCATTTCACTGCTTGATAGTGCGCCAAGTTCTTAGGGCTTATAAATGGAGACCTTTAGCCAGGCACGACAGCAGGCTTGATAAATCTTGTTCTGATTCCTTTGGCTGCATGGATTTTACATAATTTTCCCTTTTATAGTTCCTGCCTTTATAACTACCTCTGCATTCAACAAGGAGAGAACAAGACAAGTTGCATCTCCACAGTGGTCTACACGCCCAGAGGAGACTGGGTAATTTGGTCTTTTTAATTATTACTATTATTGTTGTTGTTTTCCAATCATTTAGTCAAGTCTACCCAAAAGACTTACTTGCTTTCTCTGTCTTCTTGTTACTTCTTCACTAACTTCCAGTTAAACATGACTCTTCACTAGAGTGTCTTAGGTACTTTTCACTTATTGCTGGGACAAACACTTGACACCCAAAGTGAAGGAAGGAAAGGTTCACAGTTGGTGGAGGTTTCAGTCCATCCTTGGCTGGCTCCAGGGCAGAAGGCAGCAGTTCCTGGGGGCAGAGAACAGTGGAGTTCGGAGGAAGGTGCAGCAGCCAGCATCTGTAAAGCCTCTCTCCCTTCCTTCCATGCTGAATGCATGATTGGAGCTCCACTGCGAAGATCAAGCACCTCTGAAGCGGCATGGCTGCAAAGGGGTGTGGGGAAGACGGAACCCCTCCAAGGAAGTGGGGCACAGAAGCCTTCCTCAACCCCTTTATATGCCTTCCTTGTGCTGAGCTTCCACAAGTCGAGACAATCTATCAACCACCACAGTGAGAAATTACTTGTCCTCACCTTCTTTTTGTGGGACTATAAAGGTTTATGTCTCTAAGGTCTGATCTCCAAGAAACAGCTACATAAAAAATAATCTTCTTTAAGAACATGAGGGCT